AGACTCACCAGACTCATGGAAGGTAGTATGATGGAACTAGTTCCGCTCACTTTTACATACTTTCTGCCCACACAGCCTGAGTTTCACTAGCAGTCATGTTTCGTGATTGCTTGTATTTAGTTTATAGTCAAGGAAAATGTCAAAGATGCTTTCTGTGAAAGAAAAAAAGCAGTTCCTGACATCCAGAAACTGGCCTGGTGGTCCTAGCAAGTCAAAATTCAATAGACCCAGTGCCCAGATCTTCCTTCTAACAATATTCTCCAATGAAAGAAACCAAGGCTCTTTGGAGAAATGGCTGGTTCTGGAGATGGGGCAGAAATACACAGGATGTGTCTGGAGCATCCTATTGAGCTCCCAGTGGCTGAAGCTCGAATAATTTGAACAACAAAATAATGTAGCGTTGGATTGTAACCCAAAGTAAAAATAAATATCCATAAATCCATATCTATATAAATAATGATGAAAGAGAAAGAAGGAAGAGAAGCAGGGAGCGAGGGGAGACAAATCTCCCCATGCAAAGAATTCCAAGTAATTTATATAGACATCTCCTCAAGGAGGTGGAACACCCCCTTAAATGTGGGTTATGCTTAGTGACTTACTTCCAAAGAATACAGTATAGAACAGACAGGAAAGTAACTTTACAGCAAAGAAACCTGTTAAACATTCCTTTAGCCATTTTAACATCATCATTAAGTGATGTTGATAACATGTACCTTCATATAAAACATTGAGAAAAGTTCTTTACCTCTGTGGTTTTCATCCAAAACAATCTATAACCCAAATACAATCATACGAGATACACCAAGCAAACCCAAATTGAGGAACATTCTGCAAAATCATCAAGATCACCAAGTACATCATCTTAGAGCCTAAGGAGACTTGACAGCTCAGTGTGATTGTGGTGTCCTGGATGGGGTCCTGGAACAGAAAAACAGGGAAGAACTGTGAGATCCAAATAAAATATGAAATTTAGTTCACAATAGAATAGTATTGGTTCATTAGTTATGACAAATGTACCATACTAACATGAGATAATAGGGAAAAAGTGGGTGAGGAGTACAGAAGAACTCTGCACTATCCTTTCAACTTTCCTGAAAAACTAAAACTATTCTAAAAGAAAATATTTGAAGTGGAAAAATAAACAAACATTCTATAGGAAGAGCAGAGTATAGACACTCAATTACTGTCCATTTTGTCACCTTGTAAAGAAATATGTGGGAGCAATTTCAGATGTTGTGCTGCCTGTTTTTTCTCCTTGGCCGTAAGCTCCCTGGAAGGTAACTGGCTGGAAGCTGAGCTGTGTGAGCCCAGTGCACGCCCCAGCTGTGAAAGAGGTTGAGTACTTGCCATAATACCAGCACCTGAGCTGCTGTGGGGAGGGTTTGTTTGGTTTGATTTTCAACGATCTCTTGCTCTTGACTGATCTAATCAAATGATTTTGAATAGGGCAAAGGAATACTTTTTTTCCCCCACTCAACCCCATTTTTGTCACCATTTCTCTTTTTAACTTTTTTTTAAGATTTTATTTATTTTTAGAGAGGGAAGGGAGGGAGATAGAGAAAAACATCAATGTGCGGTTGCTGGGGGTCATGGCCTGCAACTCAGGCATGTACCCTGGCTGGGAATCGAACCTGCGACACTTTGGTTCGCAGCCTGCGCTCAATCCACTGAGCTATGCCAGCCAGGGCTTCTGTTTTTAACATATTTTGATATCATGAAACTACTTTTGAATTAGTTATATTTCCTACTGGACTGTAGTCCTATTGCCCAGACAGCACTGTGAGCCAGTGGTTCAGCAGTGTACTTCCAACCTCAATAAATTTTTGTTAGGTGAAGGAACGAATGAATGAATGACTGATGGAAAAATAAATTTTTCTATACAGAAATGACATGATTTGGAGCAAAAACTTGGGAAATTTTAATAGAACATGATATGTAAAAGGCTTAAGATGAACTGCTCTAAAACTAGAATGCCTTTTTTTTTGGCAAATGTCCTTATTTTTAATATTTTTAATAATCCAGTATAACATATAAATTCAATTAGGAGAAAGGAAACTAATTGTAATTAACTTATTTTGGAAGGCTAACAGTTATATTGATTAACACTAAAAAGTTCATTTTTAGTGCAACAAAATTTTTATGTAACTGTGATTGATGACAACTGGTGGGACAAATTTTAGGCTAAATTTTTTTATTTTTAAGTTTTTTATTTATTTTAGAGAGAAAGGCAAAAGTGGGACAAAGAGAGAGAGAGAAACATTGATTTGTTGTTCTACCTCTTTATGCATTCATTGGTTGATTCTTGTGTGTGCCCTGACTAGGATCAAACCTGCAACCTTGGTGTATTAGGATGATGCTCTAACCAACTGAGAGATAACCAGGGCTAGTTTTTAGGCTAAAATTATATTGTCTTGATTTATGGCATTGAACTTTTGAGCCTCAATCATTTGTCTATGGGTTGTAAATAAGAACTGTTTTCTTGGGAAAATCATGATCCTGTGCCTTTTCCTTCAAGAAGCGAATACCTTCTTGGGTGTCTGGTCATTTTTATTAAAGAACATAAGCCCTACCCTTCAACCAGTTGATTTTCTAAGCTTAGGGATCCACCTTTCATTAGCAAGATAAAATATTTTTAATGTAGGAATTCACTGGACTTATAAACTCATATTCTCTGCAACCAGTTATATAAAACTCTCAGTCGTATGAAATAATATTTGTAAAAGATACCCAAAAGCTAGGCAGTTCATTCATTCTTTAATATCAGTGATTCTTAGCCTGAGGTTCATGGGCAAACACCCCACCACTAAAATTATACACAAAATGATGAGTGTGTGTATCCACACCACCTCGTGAAAGGTCTGTGGCTTTACCAGGACTCCAGAGTGGCCCATGACTCAAAGAATGCCAGTCCTCCTCACTCAATTCAAAGTTTATTCTTAATTCAAAGTCAACCCATCAGACAGCTGCATAGTTGTTCAGTATTATTTTTGCTGGTTTAAAAGTGTTTATATTTAACTGCATTTGGGTGTGCTGGAATCAACCTGCATTAAAGGGAATCTGTCATTGTCAGGATACTTGGAAATGGTGCTGTGCACCTTGGTAGCCATTATGAAACCCTGTGCGACTGATTTCTATTGGACCTTACTTAGTCCTAGGAAAAGCTGGGCTTCTCCCAAACATGTTGTTTGGTTTTTCTTACCAGCATTGTGAATCTTGAAACTGCTCATGAGTCCCTCTTCACGTAGAGAAGTACAGAATTCAGACCAAATGTACAGCTATCCTTTATCAAAGGTACAGGTTTTTATGACATTTTAAAGCATTTTGAAGTATTAATCTAAACTAAATTGGCATATTAGTTTCCTGTCTTTATTTCCCACCATCCCCATTTCTTCCTCTACTTCATGTTCCCCTATCATTTGGTATATTTCTTTAAAGCTTCATATCTTTTTTGGAATAAGATGTGAGAGATAAATAGGGAATATAAAAACCAACTAAGCCATGACTGGTGTGGCTCAGTGGATTAAGTGCCTGCCTGTGAACCAAAGGGTCACAGGTTTAACTCCCAGTCAGGGCACATGCCTGGGTTGCAGGCCCGATCCCCAGAAGGGGGTGCATGAGAGGTAATCACACACTAATGTTTCTCTCCCTCTTTCTCCTTGCCATCCCCTCTCTCTAAAAATAAATAAATGAAGCCCTGGCTGGTGTGGCTTAATGGATTGAGCGCCGGACTGCAAAGGAAAGGGTTGCAGGTTCGATTCCCAGTCAGGGCCCATGTCTGGGTTGCAGGCCAGGTCCCCAGTAGGGGGCGAGCAAGAGGCAACCACACACTGATGTTTCTCTCCTTCTCTTTCTCTGTCCCTTCCCCTCTCTAAAAATAAATAAATAAAATCTTCTAAAAATTTAAATAAATAAATGAAATCTTAGAAAAAACTGAGCTAACACCTGAAGACAAAAATTTTATCAAACTGCACTTTACTAAAATAAAATTTCTTACTGCCTTTCTGTTATTCCTTTAAAAAATGAAGATAGTAAAAATGAGAAAATTAAAAAAAATTAGTCCTTATTGCATAGAAAAATACTCTAATGTATAAGATGTCTTAGTGATGAAATGCACATATCAGAAGCCACACAAAACACTGCATCAAATTAAATATTTTTAGGACAGTACTGGCATTGATTGGTCTTGGCACAATTTTAAAGTCAATATGATATATGACATACCTCATAAAATGGGTTACAATTATACAACATTGACTGTTCTTTAAAAAATGTGTTACATTTGCATTTTAAGTAGAGTTTTTGAAGCTGCTTTACAAAGATGTCTTCTAAGTAAAAAATTATTAACAAATTATCTGAAAAGATGGAAATGATTACTCAATAGCCACGAAGTAATTACACATCAACAAAAATACAATCTTTGTCAATATTGAAAAATTAGAAATAACAATTTTGATAAATACTACAGGAAATAGTTGACCTCATAAATACTGACAGTTAATCATTCAGGTTGGTGTCATCTTGATTGAAATATTTTCTGTGTTCTCTCTTAGATGTAAAAGTCACGCTTTGTAAAATCCAGTCCTATAAGGTTACAGAGGAGAAATTGTTAATTTTTATTCTAATATCACTCTTAAGATTCCCTCCTTTTAAAGAACCCTATTGAAAAAATTAATTTAAAAAAGCTAAATACATGGCCAATGTTTAACAATTTCTTCAACAAATGTAATATGAATAATTACAGTGTTAAATGGCTTTTTATGAACTATTTGTGGGGAAAAATAAGAATAATTTTATGGATTTATCAAAATATACTATAATCCAAGGTCATATAGAATCAAGCATTTGTATATCAGAACTCCCATGGTTTCTACATAATATAAAATCGGTAAAAATGGAAATTAAAGCTGATCACACTAGGAAAAAATATCTCAAGTTTGCTAGCTTGTTAGATAAGCTTGAAAAATCAAAATGATTAAATAATTTTTAAGAAAACCAAACGGCTATTCTCTTAAGCATACATTTAAATTACCTCCTGTTATCTTCTGTGGAAAATCATACTTGGGAGCCATCGCCCGTCTTCTGCCCATCCCATGAGATCTGGAAAGCAAGCAGTCTACATACATGTTCCAGAAATCCTGAGCTATGCTTAAGAAAACATTATACTGTCTCGGCCGCTGGGATTTTTGCAAGAATGACATGAAATTCCAGAAAGCATCCACATCATGCTCTATCTTGAGTTCCTTGAGATCTATCAGCGTCAAAGAGCAAGCTTCCCAGCACTGGTGGTCAATGTCTTCCGTGATCCCTGGGCTGATGCTGGCAAGCACTGCCTTTTGAAATTCAAAATCTGCATTAATCAGATGGATCAGCACCATGCACCCCAGTGGTAGGCAGAACCATCTTCTCATGGCAAAATCCATATTCTATGCAGAAAAAAAAATAATGGATCTATTTTTAACTTAAAAAGAAAACTACTCAATGATCTCTTGAAACCTAAAAAGTATTTTAAAGATTTTATTTATTTTTATTTTTAGAGAGGGAAGGGAGGGAGACAGAGAGAGAGAAACATCAATGTGCTGTTGCTGGGGGTCATGGCCTGCAACCCAGGCATGTACCCTGACTGGGAATCGAACCTGCGACATATTGGTTCTCAGCCTGTGCTCAATCCACTGAGCTACGCCAGCCAGGGCTAAAACCTAAAAAATTATAAATAATATGTATCTGTTTTTGATCCAGTCAAATTTGCCAACTATGTATCTGCTGGTTTTCCTCTCGGTTGCCAACTCTCAGACCTTCCTTTGAAAGGATATTACAGTTACAGTTTGTTTAACAACATTCTGATAAGCAGTCCTCAGGAGCCACTGAAATCCAGCTCAAGGGAAGATGCTGTAGATATATACAGGGTCTGACACAAATAACGCCCCTTTTTATTACAAACTCCTTTATTACAAAATCGTAAGTATTATGTGACATAGAAATATCATATGACATTCTAGGTGAAATGTTTGAATAAAACTATAAATTATTACACCCATATTATTACCCTACCAATGACACTCAGGCAGGCCTTATTTCATCACACACCTTTAGAGCTGGAAGAACCCTTAAAAAGCATGTGCTCAACCTTCTCCCTTTATAGATTAGACAATTCTCAGCCACGTGGCTCAGGAAGCGCTCAGGTCTCCCGTCTGCCTGGCTGAGTCTCCTACCACAACACTTTTCAACTGAGTGGATCAAAATGCAGACCGTTATGTGTGTGACCACCAGAAACAGTTCACCCAAATGGTGTTGGACACTTAAGCACCGTTTTAAGTTTCAAAGTTACCGATACTGAAAAATTTTCACTTTTATTCATTGGAAAGTATTTGTTATGTATTGATGTCCGGTGGTTCCCTGGCTTCTCTGGGGTTGCTCAGGACCTGTGTAGAGATTAACACCCAAGAAGACAATAAAGATGATATATGCTAACGCGGCATGTTGTAGAGCCAACGATATTCAGCAAAATCTTGGCATTTTCTAACGGCCCTTTGCACAAGTTTCCTTGCCAACTGATCGGTTGTTCAGTAAATCAGCCTAAAAGCACCTAGGTGGGAGTGAAGGCTGCCACGGAGCACCTGTTCACAGGCTGGCATTGGAACTGTCCCTAACACAAGCTTGACAGCAGGAGGCGACAGACCTAGAAGACAACACTCATCTCCTTCCCTCTATACCGCCGTCTGCCATCTCCCCGCAAAAAAAAACAGCTTGAAGAGACAAGTCAAACGAAACGAATTTAAATTTAGGTTATTAAGTTCGTTTTACGTCGTCGAAAATTGTGCAGATTACCCAAATTAATCACTTTATGAAGATCTAAAAGGAAGATACTGGTTAGGACAGGAGAGTTTTTTTCCCCTTGTAACTTTCAGGTGACGTTCCTCGACCAGTGAGTGCCCTCCTCCCAGGTGGGGTCACCTGGACGCAGAAAAGGGAGCCGGAGCGCCAGTGAAGTACCTCTCGCCCGCCGCCAAAGCGCGAGTCCCGGGGCGATGTCCTGCGTGCGCTTCACTCACTAGGGGAACGCGGGCTGCTCCAGCCTGGGAGGGACCAGAGGTCTCAGCGCGGGCTTGGGACGACCCCCGGCCCTCTAAGCCCTCACCTCTCGTCCAGCCGAACCCACCGCTGGAGCAGGCGAAAGACGGGAAGCAGCGCTCACCTGGCGCCCTGAGTCCACCCAACTGAACTGTCTCGGCCGCGCCACGCTCCTGGCTGGGAGGCGCTGGTTCTCCGAAAGTGGCGCTGTGGTTACTTCTGCGATCGCAAGAGACTCGGAACTCGGCCCCTACCGGCAGAACCGCCCTCCTTTTCTAGGGACAGAGTGAGGGGGCAGAGAGTGGGTGGACGCGCTCCCGGGGCCGCGCCCTCAATTGCCCACCTTCCCAGCCCAGAGACCCCGCGTCCGGCGCCACTACCTCCGCCGCAGTTCCTGCTTCTCACATTTGTTGTCGAGTTTCTTCAAATTACAGAGGTTCAATGTCTTCCTCTCTCTTCTTTCACTTTTTTTCCCTTCCCTCCTTAAGATAATCTATCAAGGCAGTGGTCTATACATACCCAAGCTATCACCTCCCTCTACCCACCCAGCCAACACGCCCTCTTCTATCTAGAGAAAATCTTGGAAGATGTGTTGTTGAGTTGTATGAGTTCTTTATATATTTGTGGTATTCGTGCCTTATGGAAGGTATCATTTATAAATATATACTCCCATTTGGTTGGTTGCTTTTTTGTTTTGTTGTTGATTTCTTTAAGATGATTTTAATAAAAATAATGTATGTTAGCTTAGGATAGGGTTTGTTTTGGATATAAATTAGATGGATTAGTTAACCTACTGTTAAATCTAAACTACATGAATTTATCGTATCTATTTTAAAATGTATTGTGTTCTTTGAGTTTAACCACCATATTTTCACAATGAGATACCACCTTACACTTGTCAGAATGGCTATTAAAAATAAGACAAGGAAGAACAAGTGCTGGAAAGGCTGTGGAGGAAAGAGAACCCTTGTGCACTGCTGGTGGGAATGGAAAGTGGTGCAGCCGCTGTGGAAAACAGTATGGAGCTTCCTTGCAAGAAATTAACAATAGGATTATATCATCTGACCCAGAAATCTCTCTTCTGGGCATCTAGCCCCCCAAAATTTGAAAACACTTACTTCTATTTGTAAAGATATATTCATTGTTCATTGAACCCCATGTTCATTGCAGTGTTATTCACAATAGCCAAGACATGGGAACAACCTAAGTGAATTTCAATGGGTGATTAGATAAAATGTGGAACACATGCTCAATAGAATATACTCAGCCTTAAAAAAAGATGAAAAATTGCCATCTGCAACAACATGGATGGATCTTGAGGATATCAACTTAAGTGAAACAAGTCAGATGAAAAATGGTAAGAACCATATGATTTCACTCATATGTGGAATCTAAAACCGAAAGCAACAAACAAACAAAGCAAACAAGCATAGGCACACGCGACAGTATGGTGGTTATCGGAGGGGAAATGATAGGAGAGCAGGCTTTGGACGGTGAGCATATAATGCAATATACAAATGATGTGTTGTAGAATCGTATGCCTAGAACTTATATTGGATTGGCCAAAAAGTTTGGTTTTTCCCATAAGATGGCTCGAATAGTGCTCAGTTGTGTTGTCTTGAACTTTATTAGAAACAGTTTTGTTAGATTGTTTTGTGACAGCTGTCATATCAGTATACATTAAAAAACATCAAAATTGGTGAATTGTGTGTAGCTATTTTAATAATGAAGATGGAAAACTATGGCAACATTTTCAGCATATTATGCTTTATTATTTCAAGAAATGTAAAAATACAACTGAAACACAGAAAAAGATTTGTGCAGTGTATGGAGAAGGTGCTATGACCTATCAAATGTGTCAAATGTGGTTTGCGAAGTTTTGTGCTGGAGATTTCTCTCTGGATGATGCTCTGTGGTTGGGTAGACTAGAAGTTGATAGCAATCAAATCGAGACAATTGAGAATAATCAATGTCACACCATACAGGAAATAGCCAATATACTCAAAATATCTACATCAATAAAGTTATTGGTGAAAATGAAAAATGTCTTTTATTTTACAGAAAAAAATATAGGAACTGTTTGGCCAACCTAATATAATGTTATTAACCAATGTCACCCCCAATAAATATAATTTAAAAAGAAAATGTGATTGATATACACACTGACAGGAATGTTGCTTTTTAAATCACCTCCTTCAGAAGCAATATATTCATCACTATCATATCATGATCATCCTGTTCCCAGTATACTCCCATTGTCCATAGACTTCATCTCTGAGTTAATATCACAGAGCATTCTCCTTTCTCTTTCGCTTTAGGCCCTCATCCCATTTCAGAGTCCCTTCCACTAATGTAGCCTCACTTCTACAATTAGGTGTTCATTTTCACTCCATTACGGGGCATCTATTTCTTTCTCTTCTTTTTTTTAAAGAGAGGGAGAGAACCATCAATGTGTGGTTGACTCTCACACACCCCCCACTGGGGACCCAGCCTGCAACCCAGGCATGTGCCCTGACCAGGAATCAAACCAGCGACCCTTTGGTTCACAGTCTGGCACTCAATCCACTAAGCCACAGTAGCCAGGGCAATTTCTATTTGTCATCTACTACTACATATGTTGCCTGTTTTTCCATTGGAACATATGATCTTCCCTATGACTTATAAAAAGACTATCTTTATTTCATGTTTTTCTAGTGACTGGTATATAATGCACTCAATAAATATTTTTAGCTGATTTCTACTCTAGTGTTCCTGTTTTAGGAACAGGAACAGGAATGGAGTGACGATTCCCTGATTTAGTCAGGCCAGTGGCCTACTCATTTGTCCCCATGCTTCCTGCCTTCCAATCACTTAGCCTCAGTTCGGTTGTACTTGTGTTTATTCTGTTTCTCCTTTATACAGCACGCTTCTCCAGGAAATACTGCCATCATCACACCCTGCAGAATTCAGAAAAGCACTCCACACACAGCAGGAACATGTTGACTGACTAGCACTGAATATCTACAAAAAAGAAATTTTCAATTCATTGATTTTCTGACTCATTATAATGAAAGACATTAATTTAAGACATTTATTATTGCAATCGCCTAGAGTAAACCTTAATAACAATGTATTTATCAAAGAGAGATTCAATGACCTTGGGGAGAAAGCAGGAAATGAAGATGAAACAAATGAGTGCCCTGCAGAAAAAACAAGCACTCCTTGACTGCTGACTAACTGAAGGGAGAGAAGACATTATTTATTTATCTTCAGGAACACGGGAGACAATGATGAACAAAGTCATGTCTCTGAGATAGGAGGAAAAGAATCAATGCAGGTGAGAAGCTGAAGAAAGATCATTGCCCAAAATGACCATTAGTATGAAATAATTTGCTGTCACTTTTTAAAAAGATAAGAAATTGAAGTTTATCTTAGGTTTACTTTATCTCTAGTTGAGCTGAGACATAGACAGTGGATAAACAGCATGTATTCTAGGATCCTCAGTATGTCTGTTTGCATTTGGTGCGGTGGTGGGGGCGATTTCTTTAAGGATCGAAATAGATACCCTTAATTTTTCATAGGCTACTTAAGGTTAATATAAAATCAAGTCATGTAAAATTTAGAAACCTTACAAGGTATGACTGAATTTAATAACCATTCCATCCTTTTTGCTATAGTTGTCAAATACATTACATCTCTATACACTATAAACCCATGGTACAATGCACATTATACATTAAAACATTCTTTAGCCTGAAGAACTTTCGTAATTTCTTGTAGTGCGTGTCCACTGTCAACATATTCTTTTATTTTTCTTTATTTGCAAATGTATTTTATTTCACCTTCACTCTTGGAAGATTGTTTTTATTGGATGTAGAATTCTGAGTTGATGTGGTTTTGTCAGAAATTTCCATTTTTTTATTTTTGTAGTTTCAATTTTTCTGTTAGATTTTCTATAATTCACTTATGGTGTACATATTTTCTTTTATATCCTTGAATATGAAGTGGGATGCAGAGCAAGAGGTCCCTGAAACAGAGATATCCCCCACCTGCAGCACACGGTTGGGGGTTGGGGAAGGGAGAGCAGTTGATAGGCTTAAGATACCTTGCATATCTATGGCAACTTGATAGCTAGTTAATAGCTGTGCAGCTGCCCTGGGGCAAAAGGCCGACTGACTTTAAGGGCACATCCTGACTCCTGACAAAGGCAGGAAGGTGGTTCCCCCTGTGGCACTGAGTTGCTCTTGTTCTGACTAAAGATGGCAGCTGAAAGAATGTAGAAGATATGGGAAACTGGCAAATGTAGCACATTGTGGGAGGAGTCCAGATGATGCTACATAGGAAGCTCAGTCAAAATTTAAAATAAGGGTGGGTAGCCATGAGGAGGGATAGTCATGATGCAGGAACAAGGCAATTTGTAGGAGAGCTGGTCCACCGTGGGGGAGAGCCATGCGGGAGGGTGAGCAAAAGAAGGGAAGAGGAGTAGCCATGAGGAAGGAGCCACGAGCCAGAAAAGGACCCAGACATGCAGCTGGTAGTGAAGTAGCAGCAGTATAGTTTGTAGTCAGGATTCTGCCACACAGCCTGGAGTAGTAAGGAGGGAGCTATGCTGCTGCTGTAATCGTGCTTCCTTGAGTGGACTCCAAAGCCACCAAGGACTGTGACCTGCAAGATGCTGACCTGCTGCCTTGCAGACCTGGACTCTGTCTGCACTCTTGGGACTCGGGACCTATGGAAAGGCCATTCTCTTGGGACTTGTACCTATCCTGAATGGACACAGTACTAAATTACCACAGTCATGCTTGTCGCCAAACATACCATGAAAAAGATGGCAGTAATTCACCTTGACCCCAAACCATGGCCCTGTTGAAAAAGACATGAAATGAGACTGGATAAATTTAAGACCCACAGTATGTGATGGGACAAAATAACTCAATGAACACAACTTTCTCATTCCATCCACCCAACAATTCCACGGGAAATGATCAGATATGACTAGCACTAACATAGCACCAGGGCTGTTTTCTGTTTTATAAACTTGGGCTACTATGATCAGTAAGATGTGGGACTGGATGGATCATTGCTTTGACTCAGTGGTAATGCCAAATAAAATGGGTCAAAATTACTCAAGTTTATGTACCATCCAATTTGGGGACAGTCTTATATCTAGCCTCACAGTAATGTTTTATAAGAAAGCTTCCCT